TAGCTATGGCATACTGAATTAAAGTTCTTTAAGGATTGCCTGTGAGACCTGAAAAGGCCAGGTGTCATTCTGGGATGTCAGCATAACATGATGTTATTTACAGTGGTCCATGTGGAAACAACAGAAAGTTCTTTCCCCAGATGGAAATGGCTTATTTCCTGAATTTGGGTCATGGTAATACTTGGAGAATCGATGAGAGTTGATGTTGTGGCCTTGCACGCTGTGCTGGAGAGCTTGCACAGTCCTTGCAGACAGGCAATCTTCAGCTGTGTACCGGGGCAAAAGGCACGATGCAGACCACAGTTAGTTTAACCTCAATAGGGGGCTTTAAAACTTCAGGGGCATTTTTTTTTTAGCGAAGCAAAAAAACAACTTGGGTTGATGGATAAAAGGGTTTTTTAATTTGCCTTAAACACAGGCAAAAAATATATGGACTGTAATAATTCAATGGGTTTTGACTGTTCTGATGCTTTTTTTGTTTATTTCTCTGGTGCTTATGAACCAGCCAAAGTAGGAACAAGTTGTTTGGTTAAGAGTTTACCCTGGAAGAATTCCTGGAACAGTTTTGCTTAAACTTGCTGCACATAATTGTGTGATTTTGGGAACGAGTCTTTAAGCAGTTTTCTGATCTGAGAAATACGAGGTCAGGAGGAGGCAGAAGTGCTTCACGGCAGCAGAGGCACGGCCCTGAAAGAACAGGAGCCCCTGGAGGACTTGTGCCAGAGCAGGTGCTCCCTCAACAGGACTGCAGCCCATGGAGGACCCACATCAGAGCACAGGAAAAGAGAGAGAAGGAAGGCGCAGCACAGAGAAACCACTTTGTACCTGGAACCCACTCACCCCCCCCAGAAACTTCACACTACCTCTTGCCTGCCTGAAGGGACTGAGTGTAGCCTGCAGCTGTAACAGGGGGGCACAGAGGAGTCTGGAGTGAAGCTGAGCCTGGGAAAGGGGGAGGAAAGGTGTCTTAAGGTTTGTCAACTTGTTTTCTAAAACCTGAATCAGTAATTTAAATATTTATGCTGTCAATAAATTAAGTTAAATTCCCTGAGCTGAGTCTCTTTAGTACCTGGTAAGTGATTTCCCCGTCTATATTTCAACCCAAGAGTTTTCTTGCTCATTTTCCTCCTGTTTTCTCTCCTGTCCTGCTTGGGGTGGAGGAAGCAGCTGGATGGATGCTTGGCTGCCAGCCGGGGCCAGCTTGCCCCAGGAGTTCAGCAGCTCCCAGGCACGTGATGCTGATGTGACGGCATGTGACAAGCAGGGGACTTGGAGCAGCAGGTCTGGCCCATGGCAGGTGCCCTTTTTTGTAGGAAGTTGCAAGTCTGGGTCTGCTCACAGGCACCAGCGAAGCACCGTCTCTGTTTGGAGTTTAAGCATCTTTTCTGTTCTGTCATTCAGATACCTGTTTTTAGCATGTGAATTGCGGACTTCAAACCCAGAAATTCTCCTGTGCACAAATTAATTTAAAGAACACTTAAAAAATACCATTTTTATGATCCAGCACCATTGGGATGAGTGATACCCGTTTTCAGTTTTGCTTTAGTCTCTCCCTTTTGGCATGCTTTATATACACCAAAAGAGAAAATTCAGTTCAAAAGACATTTTCAGTCTGAGGCCTGCGCATCTCTTGCCTTGTCTTGTGAAAAACAGCAAATGAAGCAAAAGTTTCTTACCACATGTTTCTTACCAGCAAATCAGGGCTCAGGCTATGCAGTATTTCACTTCTGCTAGTTATCTCCCAGAAGTCCTGATGTGGAGGGATGTGAAGGAGACAGAAGAATCTGACAGCTGTCCCGAGAATTTGCCATGAGTCAGAGCCAGGCATCTTCCCTGCGTCCCAGCTGTACAGGTGCTACAGTTTGCTGGGGTGATGGGCGAGCAAGTCTTCTCATTGTAAATCCCAGGTTCTGAATTTAATTCCAGGGCAGTTCTTCCCAAATGGCTCTAATTCCAGTGAGCTCTGAGTGTAGCCAGCATAATTTTTTGCATTGCTATTAATATCCTTCCTGCTGTTTAGGATAAAATTCAGTTCTTTACTGGGCCTACACAAGATTCAAAGCTCTTGAATGCACTACTAAGGGTAGTTTGGACTATAAGGACTAGCACAAGGCCATTGCCTTTAGCGGTGTTTTCACTCATGAACACTTTCAGCTATTCCTTTTCACACATAATTTCATAATGAGGTCCCCTATGAATAATTTACTGATTATTTTTCTGTTTATAGTCACTGGACAAATGATTGCAGAATTAAAGCATATGCTGCTTTATACTTTGGGCTGTCTTATTTGCTTTGTAATATTAAGCAATTTATCTGCAATTTCATTTTGAATTAGTACAGCATTTCTGACAAATGCCTTAGAGTCAGCTAAGCATGAAACGGGAATTTACACACCTATTAAATATTTAACCTATCAGTGGCAGCTGAAAAATACATCTGCTATCTAACACGTTCTTATAGAACATTAGTAACATGTAACTGGCACAGGTGCAAAAACTCTGCGTCAAAATAACAGCCAAACATTACTGGTTTATATGATGTTTTTAAATCAAACAAAAGTAAGATGGTAAAATGCCATGAAATGGCTTATTCAGATTATCAGGTCTTTTGTTGGTTCTCTCAGATGCTTTTAAGACTTTGTGTACTTGTTCAAGTTAGGTGAGCACAGATCCAATTACAAAATCCCATTGTAATCCATCTTGTCTTCAACTTGTTTCACGATGACAAAGGTTGCAATGACATAGTGTGTAAGGCTTTCTTTATTGTTTACCAAAATGCGGTTAGTACCAAAAGCCCCGCTGTAAATACTTCCAGCAAAACAACTGCCCTTCTGCAAAGGCTTTCTAACCTGGAAAGAGGCTGGAAATGAATGACAGAGGAGCTGGTGAGTACTGTCGGGAAAAGCTCATAAATGAAGCCTTAATGGGGAATTACCTAAATCCACTGAGGAAATGGGGACAACACCTCTGGAAGTGGGTGTTTGCCTGCCTCTGTGACACAAGCTGCAGCTACTAATCCATTGTGGTTTCAGCTGTGGCCTTTTTGGAAATACAGCTTGCACACCTTACAGGACAGGTGACTAAGGCACGGTGTTCCTCTCTACATGCTGCTTGCTTCTCGCAGAAGTACGCTCCAAAGCTACTCGGCACCTTGCAGAGTTGAAACCGGAAATCCAGTCTCACCTGTGTGTGGGATGTTGTCTGAAGCAGGAGAGGATTAAATTCTTTCATACAGTTCAGCAGTAGGGATTAGCCTCTCCTCAAAAAGCCGTGTGGCGTGCCAGATCTGAAGCGTGCAGTTGGGATCACTGACGAGTGAACTGAGAGGTGTGCCCTGTCCCAGTGGGCCACTAGAATCCAAAGGGAAATGTTCCCTGAGACAGGTGGGACTGGGATGTGCCCCAGGAGGGCTCTTGACCCTTTCCCAGGTGAAGAGCAGGAGAGTTGGTTGACCATCATGTAACACAGCAGATAGAGACGTTTGGCTGGTTTTGTCAGAAGGAAGTCCCACAGTCTGATGTATGTACCCTTGAATGGACTTACCCGCTATTATTTTATTTTCTTCTGGCTGAGACTGGAATGTCTGTCTTTCCTGCTCTTTGAGTTTGTGTATCCAATTTTTAAATTGGCTGATCAGCCTGTTGTACTCGTGATGGCTTCAGAGGGGGTTTTCTTTGAATTAGGACTCTTGGATGTGGATCTCAGTTTCCTTGAAAATCCAGGGGCACCTCTCTTAGCGAACACAAACTGAAATGAAAAGTGCTGGGAAAAAAGTTTAATCCATTCTAGTAAAACGTAGCTTATTTAAGTGGTAAAAGGAGCTTTTGTGGCTCTTCTGCACGTACAGAATTTTCCATTTGCAATCTGTATTCAGTAGTTTCACCACAATTCAAATATGTATTTAATAGCTCTTTTATAGTTGAGTGAAGGAGGTATAAATGTGTTTTAACTTTTTTCAAAAGGTGATTAGTGCTTTATAAACATTTTAACAATCAATGCTTTAAAAAATAAAAAGCATATCAAGTTGATTCCATAAAGATCTTAAATGTGATGGTTCTTTTTTGGTGGTGTATTTACAAAAAAAAAAAGCAAAAAATGAAGAAAATTTATTAGCTTCAAGTTCAGACAATTGTCCTAACACTTCTTATATTCGGCACTTAGATAAGTTCACCCATTTTATCACCATGCCACTATTTATTTTCAATTTATATTAGAAACTGCCTTGTTTCTTCAGCTACTTGGATTGGAACTTAATAATTTAACTTCTCTTACAAATTAATTGCAAATATAAATATAGCTTTTTAAGAATTTATCTCAGCTAATTTTATTTTCCTACATAAGCTGCTGTTAAATGTATTTCAAACATTTTGTTGCTTATGAAAGCCCAGTTAACGGTTCTTTTGCAGTTTGGTTCACTATGGCAATGGTAAAGGACTTTGATCTTCATTGTTTTTATTATGAGGGGTTTTTTTAACAATTACATTTCTCCCTACCCTCAGAAGCAGTACATGCAGGTTTCTTTAGCTCAGGAAATTCAACTGTAGGGCTTTAAGGAATTTGTACGTTTGCACATCTATATCTATAAGGATAATTATTTATAATATGCCATATAAATGCACATACTCTTCCTGTTGTAAATGCCATTTTTAAGAGGAAAGCCATTCTTGCACACCAGGTATGGTTTCCTTGGTATTCCCGACTTGATTCGACCCTCCAAGCTCACCATGATACCTGTATGTTATGGAAGGGGACTCCAATGTGACAGTTTCAATTTTTTGAATGAAGCCATTTACACTAGATTTTACTACCTGTAGATGTGTGTACGTGGGTGGATAAGGCTCAACAGATCTTTCATCTTTCAGTCTTATACATCCATTCAAACAAAAAGAACAGTGCTGCACACTTTCAAATATATTAAATACTTTTAAAGGTTTAAACTTTTAGCATATTGTTCATCCTTATGCAAGTCTCATTCTAACTGTTCATTTTTGTTTTGCTTGTTAGCCATGCTTCAGGCATACCTGGCATCTACTGATTTTTTTTCTCTGCTCTTGTCCTTCTTTAAGAGTTCCTGAGAGGGGGGCTGATGCAAACTGCAATTCGGGCATCACGGTTGTTAGCCAGAAACTGTATTCATTGGCAAAAAATTGACATGTCCCCCGCTGACCCTGGCATTCAATGAATGGTGCTGATCTGAAGTCTTCTAGGCAACTTCCAGGTGACATAAGGGACTGTCCACCACCCTGATCACCAGATCCAGTGTGCTGGAAAGAACATTGAAAGAGCTTGATAACTGTGCATGAAATATAGGTAAATTATGTTAATCTGTCTTTTTCTGACTTTATTTGCTTTTAACTGTACAATTTTTGGTGATCTTAAGTTGGAGTAAGCTTCCTTTGCTGGAGAAAATCTTAATTTGCTCTGTAATGAGTTCATCTCAAAAGTCTAGAGCCAGCTCACCTATTTTTCTGTTTTTTATCAAACTGAAGAAAAGAGTAATCTGGGATAATTCTAAATGATGCTGTTATCTAAACTGCTGCAAATAGAACTAAAGGATGGCATTAAAAAGACCTGGACCTCTAATTCTGAAAAGTGTGTCTTGGTACATGAAATTTCCATTGTTTATTAATGACATGAAAGCAAAATCTTTGCAATTTTAAGAAATGTGTAGCTTAAGGCTATGACTTTGGTGTACATAGCTGCACCCAGGTCCTCCAATTTGGAACTACCCCTTGTCTTGTTTATTTTTGTGAATTTTCCTTTTTAATTGAACCTTTAGAACACACTTACCATCAAAAAAGAGTATCCTATCCACAGACTCCTCCAGTTCACTGGGCAGGGAGGGATTGACTGATCTTGGCTGTGAACTGCAACCGCCTGGGCTGGGGCCTCGCATACAGCACATCTGCTGATGTACGGTTGGATTTCTTCTTCAGAGAGTGGCGTCATTGGTAAAGGAGCAGCACTTGACAACCAGTACGACTTATCATTTCGACTGGCATAGTAACACACTTGGTTGATGTTACAGTAAGCAAAGGGCATGGTATTAAACACAGGAAGACAAGATCCTGCCAGACCTGAAAATAGTAACAAATGATGAAAATTACTCCACTTTTTTCTAGGTAAGTTGAAAATAGCATTCTGACCAACGCTGCCGCAAATCTATGTATCTTAACAGGAGTTATGTAATTCACAGATCTTAAACCTCCCAGGCTCTTTACCCAAATGGCTAGTTATACTGAGAACAGAAACATTTTACTGATAGATATCTTCCTTTGACCAGTAATAGTTAATTGTGTCACAATCCAGTATTTAAACATGATGTAGTTTGTCACCATGGGAAACAGTTGTGATAACAAATTTCCTAGCTGAGCCAACGCTGAAAAATAAATCAGGCAAGAGGTGGCAGCTGGTTTAAAAGCAGATTGGCTATTTACAAACTCATTAGCAGTGAGAAACCAAACACCAATGCTGACAAACAGAAAATTTTTGTAAAGTATGACAAGCCATTGCTACAAGTGCATTAAACTGAAAACTCGTCAGCTGTTCTATTGCCTTCAGAAAGGTTTCACAGACTCTCAAAGGGAAATCAAAGGATTGAGGGATTTTGCAGAGCCAGTCTTGCAAAATTCTCATTAGGCAGACATCAGTAGGAATTAAGAAGTGACTAGTAATATACTTCAGCATACTTCAGAGGTGAAGTTCTTCTAGAACTGAATTTAGAACAGTTTTATGATGACCTATTTAGTTAACAATAATCACTGTATATATGTTCTGCCTTGAACTTTGTGTCTGATGTACTGTTTCTGTAATGCCCCCAAACCCTAATGCCGCCTTTAAAGACATGTGACATTCCTCTACAGAAGCAAGTTTTGTTTGTCACTGATAATATTCCATTCCAGTACTAATAAAGGATCTGAAGTAGCCTGAGTAAGGAAAATGCCTGCAAAAATAACACACTGGCCACAAGAAACAAGGACTTTATTTTCTTTGAATCTTATTTTCACTGCTCTTGTAAGGCATTCTGTTACCAACTGGCTCTCCTGGGGAATGACAAACACACAATAGTGAAAGCATTTCAAAACAACACTGCTGTACTAAAAACTATCTTTTTTTTTTAATTGCTCTTTTAAAGAACTCTTTTTTGTCCAGCTTATTAGGTCCTTGATCTTTGCTCCTAGGAAACTTCTCTGCCTCTTATATAAAAGTCAACAAGAATTTAGGAAATTGCTGCCAATCAGTTTCTCAGGCTGCAAGTCAGGCAGCTTATTAAGACAGCTAATTTTAGTCAGAATTATAGGAAACATAGAAGAAGTTACCCAAGGCTCCAAAAGGAGCTGTCTTTGGGAGAAATTTGTCTCTGTCTTTTCAAAAAAATATTAGCTTCTGACTCTTAAAAGCACACAATTCTGCTGTATACATGATGCACAAATTTATTTTTACAAATAA